ACTAAATGATTTGCACCCCCCTTCCCTGCAACATCCTGATCGAAGATCTCGATAGAGAAGCTGCTATGAGCAGCGACGGAGCGGTGTTAGTGCTCAGTGCTGCTATGCGGCGACGCGACAAACGTCGCAAGCGGTACTCTCTACTTTTGGGTCGCCTGCGACGAAGCCTCCATGAAGAGAAGCTACGTATTGAGTGGCCGAGACTCGTACGAATGAGGTACTACGTAACTCTCGACTGCTTAAAGCACCCCATGGAGTCCGACTGGATGCGATTGTGGCTTAACGGCACCGATGGGAACCTGATAACAAATACGAGCTTATCTCGGTAAGATATATCTATGTCTATCTACATAAATAGCGACCTGACAGTACAAATTGTGTATTCTGGATAGCGCTGGGCTCGAGATTCTATTAGAGCGTTTTGCGCTTTATTTTGAGCTTCCTCAGTACTCTCCGCGTGGGGGGAGACCCAGGAAGTTACAACACCACTATCAGGTTCTGGGTCTGCTGTTGTCGTTTTACGTAGGTACCATGAAAAGAGAATCGCTTTGCCTCATGTTTGCAGTGCCACCCTCCACACTATCTCGCGTGTTAAATGCTGCGTAGGACGCCATGTCTAGAGATTTAAATGGGTTTGCACCTGCGCGAATTGTGTGGCCATCACCACTTCGACAAAGGGTTTTGGCAAAGTTAGTGGAAGCCCGCCAGCCGCTCTTGCGATACACTCGGGGTTTTTTAGACGGTAAAAATTACAAGGTGAGTGGATATACTGTTTTTACTCCATATATAAAATCTAATATGTGCTGTTGTTGTAGGTGCAGCAGCCGCCAGATACTGACGTACAGAATGCACATTATAATGGCTGGCTGCACCATGTATTTGTCACTGGGACCCTTTGTTTCAGTGCTGACGGGCTAATTGTGTGGGCTAAACACAATTGCCCGGGCAGCTGGAACGACGGGGATACGAGTTTAAGCTTCCGGCAAAAGTTGGTGGACTCGAGATTAAATCCAGATTCGCGTTACGGCGTCGTAGCGGATAGCGCTTTTCCGTGCGCTAACGAGATGAAAGGACGCATATTAACTCCTCTAATAGATGGAGATTTGGGACGTTTAACTCCATCGGTGCGGCCAGTTGCAAGAGCTCTCTCTGGGACCATCACGTTCATTCGCCAGTCGGCAGAGTGGGGCATGGGCTCCATTGAGAAGGTGTATGGACGTCTACTAATGCCGCTCCCATTCGAGATGCCTAAGCGTCAAAAGCGACTTGACAACCTCTTTCGGTTGGCGAGCTTCCAAGTCCGCGCAGTGGGTATTAGCCAAATTCGCACTACAAATCTACAGAGACAAGTACAATTGACATTAAATGTATTGTGGCTATCATTGTTGATGTTGCCTCAAGTCGCTACTACTATTCTTAATCATTTTCTTCCACTCATGTTACTTAACAGAATCATCATCTGCTCATGCCGCTGCCTGGCTTCCGCTCTCTCCAACTCCATTCGCTCTTCGTGTCGCCTTCGTTCTTCAGCCCGCTCTTGATCTCTCTCAGCTCGGGCCGCTACTTCCTTCCGCCGTTCTTCTTCACGACGCAGTTTTTCGTCAAGACGCTGTTGTTGCCGTTGTTCAGCTAAGGCTGCCTCCGCTCTACGGTCACTATCTCGTTGTTCAGCTAAGGCTGCCTCCGCTCTACGGTCACTATCCGTTGTTCAGCTAAGGCTGCCTCCGCTCTACGGTCACTATCTCGTTGTTCGCGCTCTCTTTTATCTGCGAGCTCTCGTTCTTCTCGTTCCTCGCGTCTGCGTTTGGCATCCGCACGAGCAGAGTTGAGCGAGGAGTCACTAATAATTGCAAAACCGGGTGAGCTCAGGTCCGACGTCGTTTGAGATACACACTGAGCGGGAGACAGCACCTTAGAGAAATCTATGCGCGCCATCAGCGCTTCACGTCGACTTGGTCTTGCAGGTGACCATCGATCAGCTGTTGAGGCTTGAGAGCTTTGGAGTCTGGGAGATCCACCCGTTGTTGACGCCTCGTCGAACAGAGAAGGAGGCGGCGTGTACGATTCGGTCACAGTCGACTGACTGCACCTGTCAGCTGGGTCCACAGTAGTGGAAGACGTCGTTACCTCAGCCTGAGACTCAGGCTCCAGACTGAAGTCTTTGAGCGACGTGACGGACTCGCCGCCACGCCGCCGTTGTAATGCACTCACCCCTTCATCAAAGCTTGGTGGTCGATCAGAGTGATCACGAGACTCGTCACGAACGCGTTTAAGTCGATTCCCAACGTAATGGAGAGGCTCAGAGGAAGTCTCGCAGTCAAGAGATTGATTGATAGTAGTAGGCGCTACCATTCCGGGGCTAACACATATTAAACACAACACAAATCGGGTAAACGCGTACGCTTCTCCGAGACGATACTCCAAAAAGAAAACCATCACCTTGTAGCTGCGTTTAGGAGCTTGGGGGCCGTTGCGGAAATGTTCTGCCTCGTACCTGGGGGCCAATAGAGCCATAGCACAAGTTAACAAGTTAATAAAGTCTGACAAACAATTCGGCGGGAGAATATGCCCTACTTACAGCCACCGTGAGTCTGATTGTGCGGTAGAAGAATGTTTTTGGAATGCAGTGAGGCCGCGGTAGGCGCAAAGCTTCGCGCCTTCGAATCATTTGAAGATACGCTTTTCAACTTCAATTTTAAGAAATGTGCTAGTTAGGGGAATCGCTTAATCACAAACAACATATTAATACAAATTACTTTTTAAATAGCTGCTAAATTGGGGTGCGTGATTAAAGCGGATAAAACGGGATAAAGCGGGAAGTTTGGTGAGACGCGACGTGGGCGACCGCCTTGATTTGTTTGTGTGAAAATAGGATATTTACAATTTCTAAAAATGGTTTTCTTTTTGGAGCAGCTTTTTGTGAGACGTATTTTTTTGTGCGTTCGCATGGTTTTAACACCTCGATATTCGTAGCCTCGACCACAACTTTCCCGTTCGTGATACATGTACCGGTACAAGCACGGTGCGTGTACGGTGCAATACACACTTCACGCTTTTAACATGTAGTCGAGTTTCGCACATTTGCCATTCTTATGACTCCACAAGTTTAGATTGTTTGACAAATCTAATCAAATCTAAAAAAAGGATCAGATCTCATCGAGCTCTTTGTCCTTTTGATATGCTAGGATAGGTTAGCAAATCGGTCCTAATTATTTACCACAAAATATACAACACAATTATAAAAATTCAGAATACAAATAATTTGCGTGAGTGATATAGGGCTAGGTGCTTTATTACTATAATATAATTACTGTTTTATTTATAGGCGTGGAGATTTCCAAAATCGTGCCGTTATTATAGACAGAAAAGAGGAAATCCTGAGAAATTATAAGGGGAGTGGCGATTATACTGATTTTTTGTAAGAGCATCAAGATTGGGCACCTTTTTTCGCATACCAAGGCATTCTCGAATAACAACCTACATCCGCTTTGATAGGTCCCCCTGGTAGAATTTCCTTTTTTTCAAGGGGTACTTTTCAAAACTTCAAAAGGGTGAGTTGCACGTTTTCTGAATGCAGTACCTACCTGACAATTAAGCGATGTTCAAGTTGGATTGGACTCCAATCGCACGATAAGTACAGTATATGTATACTCCGAGCGAGTTTCGTCTGTGCTATAATGTAGTCGTGGAGCTGCACAGGTCTCTAATATAGACCTGTGTAGCTCCACGACATGCATTGAAAACTTGTTGGATTGTTCAAGAAGAGTGCAGAACATATACAGTACTGCACCCCGTTTTCGCGCCCTTGGACCTTTGGTAAACTTCCGGATGTGATGAGCCTGAATTCAAATGAACATTAGTACGTATGCTAAAATCGAATTTACTTGCAAATCCTATATGGTCCACCCCCGCGAAAACGGGGTGCAGTACTGTACCGTATTAATACCTCACGAGAAAGCGATACCGGTACATGTACTGTACATGGATCCTTGATTATGTACCGAATCAGCAGTGCTTACTTTTCTAAAAACAGTTTGATTAAAAACAATTAAAATAGTGTAATTAATGTAGTACTTTAACGTAACTTCGGTAAAACGATAATTTTAGCTACATTTATTATTACATCAAATTTTGATACACGGATACCGGAATTGACGGTATTTTTGCAACCGATCAATTTTTTGCAACCGGTGGCCCGTAAAAAGTCTGCAGCACCAACAAAATTAACCAGTTTGGCATCAAAACAGTGTCCCAGTTAAAGCGCGCTATTGCTTACAATATTGTGAGCAATGCGACGGTTTCAAATGGACAGGAGTATCTTGTGCGAGATTTTACGCCTTCCGCTGTTCTTACGGTTTTGACTTGAAAGGTACTTTTTACACGGTTGCAGAAAACACGTAAATTCCGGTACAGCATTTCCATGTCAGACAAAAAGTCGCACCCTCTCTGTAAGCTATTTTCTAACTGTACAATCAATAATATTCAAACATGTAAAAACAGTTTTTTGATAATACATGTTGATAAATAATTGAATTTTACCTGTCCTAATATCAATAATGCAGATATAATATATAATTGGATGAGTGGGTATTAATACAATACAGTACCAGGTATCGGTTTATTATATTAATACCATGCCAGAGTTTCTTTAAGTTTCCTTCGCATGACTCTGCGAACGCCGGGATACGCATTTGTGATCTGTATGCGCTGTCTCTCCTGCATGTAATTACTAATTTGCTTACAATTTGAGAGATTCGGCAATTCTCTTCCGCCGGCGAGTTAAGGACGATGAAGGTCAGCATCGTTCTGCTTACTGCACTTGTCGCGTTTGCTGCAGCCCAAGCCCATGAAGCAGCCAATTCGACCGTGAAGTACATCGACTATTCGAGTTTGAAGAAGTTCACGCGAGCTCCATCGACGAAGCAGTCCAGCACGACAGGCTCTCATGAACAACAGCAGCAACAACAGGAATATGAACAGCAACAACAGCAACAGTCCAGCTGGACAGGCTCTCAAGAGCAGCGATCGAAACTCCGACTCCGACACGAGTGCCTACTCCTACCCGACCGGACACTAGCCAGACCGAAGCTTCGACCCCCGTTCCGACCCCAGCCTCGACGCCAGCCCCGACGCCTGCCCCAACACCGGACCCTGGTCCGTGGGAAGCGAAGTGGATCGACCACGACCAAGTCAAGCCATTTTCTCAACCGGAGCCTCTGACAATCTCAGAGAAGGCAGCAGTCAAGTTCAAGCCTCAGATTCACGTCACAAATGGATGCCACCCGTACCCTGCGGTGAACGAAGCCGGCGAGACCAGCAGTGGTCTCAAGACGAAGGGTGCTCCCAGCGCTGGGTGCAAGGGATCTGGATGGGGTTCTCAGGTGTACGGCCGATCAACGTGGGTCGATGGTGTCTGGGCCATTATGTACTCGTGGTATTTCCCAAAGGACTCGCCATCCTCGGGTCTGGGCCATCGCCACGACTGGGAACACGTTATCGTTTGGATTGACAACCCCGGCATTGAAAGCCCCAAAATTTTGGCTGTCACACCATCGGCTCATGACGGCTATTCCAAGCAGGTCCCTCCGAAATCGGATTGCGTTGACGGTACAAGCGTCAAGGTCAACTATGAGAGTACCTGGCCAGTCAATCATGCGCTCGAATCCACTTCCAAGGGCGGCGACTTTCAGGACCTTATCATGTGGGACCAGCTGTCGGAGAATGCCCGTCGCGCGATGAACGGGGTTGGCTGGGGCAAGGCGAACACGCCCTTCAACGATGGTAACTTTAAATCCAAGCTGAAGAAAGCGTGGCCTTTTGCGAAGTAGCTAGGGCCAACTTGTGTTGCAGTGCGTGATGTGATAACAAAGTGCAACAAGACATATAATTCTACATGTCTTAGTACTCGCAGTAGGATTTGTCGTTGTTCCACCATAATCGCTTAAAGTAAAGGCAACGTTACGGTTACGCCATGCCAAAGCACCAATTGATTATGTTGATATCGGAAAAAATAATTGCGGAACTGCAATTATTGCAAATTTAGTATTATTATAATAATTACTATTGATCCCTAACAAACAAGTATAATAAAACATTGGTCCAGTTATTGCAATAAAATACGGCCATCCAGACCCGGTTCACTTTTGCGCGACCGGTTCGCCAAAAACCGGTCCTTCTGAGCGGTTTGGCTGTCGCTATCAGTGTTTAACTAAAGTGAATGGCTAAGCAAGCTCAACGCGGACTTTGCTGCCAATACTTGTAGCTACAGCTCACATCTCATTTTCTAAACTACGACAATGGCGACAAACAGGGACTTCTGTGTATTTTTCGTCGAGCCCCAAGGCGAAGGAATCCATCACTGCAAGATTAGCGGTGCTAGCCGCAAGCAGCTGCCCGGTAGGGGATATTCCAGTCTCGTGTCACACCTGTCGCGCCGCCATGAGGACTTCCGTGCGCAGCACGCCGCGCACAACCACGGCACCGAGCGCCCCCTTCAAGATTTTGGGTTCGTATCTGAGGATATCTACCATCGCTACCAGAGGCATACCACTTAGCGAGGTAGGTGACGAACTTACAAGGGCCATGTCCAAGTGAAGATCGACCAACTCAAAAGCCGTCAAGGCAGACATGAATACGGTAGCTGCAAAGTTGGATATCGTGATCTCCGACGAGATGGGCATCCTTTTTGGCATTAGGTACGACGGCTGGACCCATGGCACCATGTATTTTGTTGCTGCCATCGAACTCTACGTGGTCGGCGGACGCCTCCAGCAAACCCTTCTTGCCATGGCCCCGTTGGATGAAGGGGGCCAAAATTCTGATGCTCACATCTCCCTCTTTCGGAACGTGTTGGCGGTTTATAACAAACTGTCGACATGATCCTGTTTTTGGTCGCCGATAATTGTAGCACCAATCACAGTATTCCCATCGAGCTCGGCATCCCGTTGGTCGGTTGTGCGTCGCACCGATTTAATCTGGCAGTTGAAAGCTCTTAACTGAACACAAACAGCTGCTGCAACAGGTCAACAGCCTGGTGCTGCAGCTGCACCAGCCAAACAATGCGGCGGAGCTCGCTAAGGTCACCCGCTACGCGTGAAGAAACGCAACGTGACTCGCTGGTCATCTACCTACGATATGCTGCAACGCTACGGAGCGATAGCGGCGATTTGACCTGTAGAAGCTGTAGGAGAGATAATACCGTCAACTAGCGACCACAAGAGATTAGTGGGGCTCTTGAAGCACTGAGAGAAGCTCGACAATGTGTGCAAGCGTTTGCCGTCCGAGGCCACTACCATAAGCGAGGTCCGACTCCTTTTTGACTCGGTCATTGTAGACTATCCAATTACGGGCGGTCACCTTAATAAAATGACTACGCGCGACTACGTTCAAAAGACTCGCCACCTCGCGTCATGCATCGTGACAAATCCGATTGCAACAGCATCGCAGGTCCATGTATTCGTATTCGGCATGCGTGAAGGCATGCCACGGTACTGCCTGACCCGAGCGGAACCTTCCTCTCTCGAGGAAGCATTCGCCCTCGCATTACGCGAAGACTACGTTGTGGCGGCGTCTTACGCGCGCGCGATGTCTACGGCAGCTCGTGAGTCAGCCCCCGAGCCCATGGAGATCGACGCGATTGACGCGTCGAATAGTCACCGTCAGTCGACTTCTCGTGGGCCCAACGGCCGTCCTAATCGCCCGCTCACTTGCTTCCGCTGCCGGAAGATCGGTCATCGCGCGACAGAATGCCGCGCGCCGGCGCCGGTACTCGCGCACACCGCCGAAGTCTCACCTGCCGTTCAGTCAAAAAACGGTCAGGGCCAGTAGGTGCGGGGCACCCTACTGGCTGGAATGGAGGTCCGGGTCCCCCGGTGGCTACCCAACCTTCTAGCCCTCCTGTGCTCCACGCACACTTTAATGCCACCACCACGTCGGACGACTCGAGGCTGATCATCGTCAGTCTTCATGTCGCCGGCGCCCGGCGACCACTTCGCGCACTCCTGGACTCAGGAGCTTCGAATAACTTCTTCCGCGAATCGTGCTTATTGATGCTTCCAAGAGAGATCGCAGTCCGTAATGGTCGAGGTCAGGTCGTCGTCAAACTTGCTGACGGAAAGCCACGCCGCGGCGCGAGATCACGTTGCCGTACACATTCGACGGCTTCCGCAGCAACGACGACTTCCTCGTGATTGAGATGAACTACGCGTTCGACTGCATCTTGGGTATCCCGTGGCTGTCACGATATCAACCAGAGATTGACTGGTTGGCTCGGTCCGTTAAACACCGCTCTGGCTTCGATGTGAGTGAGGTGTTCACGCACCTCCTGGTTGCCCAGAAGGACTGGCCCCATGTCAGGGTCGTGGACCGGTTGTCCACAATGCAGGTTGAGCAGAGAGCGAGCGATGGCCCTCTCTGTATGTCTTGCACAGCGCTGTTGCGCGAAAACCCCTCGCTGCGAAGCGAGGTTGTTAACACTTTGGCGGTAGAGCAGGGGCTCCCGCAATCCGAGCAGGCGGTCGAGCATGAGTTCCCGTCACACAACACGACGGTCGAGCATGGGTTCCCGTCACGCAACACGGCGGTCGAGCATGGGTTCCCGTCACGCAACACGGCGGTCGAGCATGGGTTCCCGCAACACACCAAGGCGGTTGAGCATGGGTTCCCGCAAAACACTCTAGCGATTGAGCAGAGGTTCCCGCAACGCGATTCGGCGGTCGAGCAGTTGGAGCTCCCGTCATCCACAGCGGTGGTCGAGCAGTTGACACTCCCACCGGCTACGACGGCAATCGAGCAGGGGCTCTCGCCAGTCGAAGGCGCGGTCGAGCATCGGGAGCTCCCGCGCACTACCGACACGGTTGATGGTGCCTCCGTGTCTAGAGGGGGGTGATTCCTCGTCCAGCGATAGCGAGTCTTCTGTCTCGAGCAGCGGTTCGAGACGCCACAAGAAGAAATCCAAGCGACGCCGTCTTAAGCGACGTGGTCAGCCCACCGCCGATATCGCAGTGAATGAGTCCATACACGTCCTGGAACACGTGGAAGGAGGCGCCGTTCGCTCACGCACACTTGACATTAAGAGCCCACCTCGCGAAGCTTCTTCCATCACACGCCTTCCGGGCCTTTCCTAAAAGCATTTTCTGCGCGATCTAAAGTCAGGAGACATCGAGCAGGTCTGCTTGATCACCGAGTTTGCCTCGGCGGAAGAGATCCACACGGTCGCTACCGACAATCTTCCACTTCGTCCAAAGAACGCTGACCCGAAGTCGGCGCGCGAAGAGCGCTTCGCTGCCCAGTCGTGGGAGTCACTCCGCGACTCGGGCAATCCAGTATACGACACCGTCCGCGAGTTCGCGGATGTTTTTCCCGACAAGATTCCAGCTGAGCTCCCTGCTGACAGAGGCATTCGCCATGAGATTGATCTCACGCCGGGTTCCAAGTACTGCGTGACGCGACAGTTGCCCCTCCCACGCGATCAGGTTAAAGCCATTGACGACTTCTTCGAGAGCCGCCGCAAAGCGGGTCACGTGCGCGAGAGTACCTCGCCACACTCGAGTCCGACGTTCTGCGTGAAGAAGGCCACGGGTAGTTGGCGCATTGTTCACGCTTCTAACAAGCTAAACGACGCCACCATCCCAGCACAAACACCGATCCCTCGGAAGGAAAGGGTACTTGTCACCATGGGCCGCAGTGTTATTTTTAGCGCCATCGACCTGACCGATGGCTTCTATCAGATCTCGATGCGACTCAGCGACATCCCGCTCACAGCGGTGAGCACTCCCAGCGGGATGCTGTGGGAGTGGCTTGTCATGCCGCAGGGCCTGAAAAACGCACCAGCCACGTTCAATCGCATGGTTTCCCACGTTCTGCGCCCACTTCGCGACTTCGCTCCGAGCTACTTCGAAGACATCTTCGTTCACAGCCGCGCTGAGGGCGATCTCAGCGCCACAGAAGTTCACATGAATCACTTACGACAAGTGTTCCAAGTCATGCGCGAAAACAAACTGTACGCGAACTTGAAGAAGTGCATCTTCTGTGCCCCGGAGATTCCGGTGCTTGGCTGTTATGTGAGCAAAAATGGTGTCCGAGCGGATCCTGAGAAGGTCTCGTCCATCTGTGCGTGGCCCACGCCGCATAATCAGACTGAATTGCGTCAGTGGCTTGGACTCGCAAATTAGCTCCACAAGTACACGAAAAATTACGCTGGTCTGATCCAGCCATTGTCTTCATTGCTAAAGAAAGACATCACGTGGTCGTGGACTCCCGAACATCAGTCAGCCTTTAATGCAGTGAAGAAAAGCTTGGCGGAGGCCCCAATCCTGGCGCTTCCAGATGACTCAAAGCCATTCCACGTTGTTTGCGACGCGAGCGACTTCGCCATCGGCTGTGCACTGATGCAGTTCGACGACGAAGGTCGCGAACGCGTCGTGAGTTACCAATCCAGACAGATGAAGCCCGCTGAGAAGAATTATCCGGTCCACGACAAGGAACCCCTTGCGATGCGCTACGCACTGATCAAATTCAGAGTGTACTTACTCGGTGAGTAGACATTCGCGATCTACACAGATCACGCGTCGCTGCGAACAGCGACGAAGAGCCCTCATCTCTCTCAGCGCATGGCACGATGGCTGTCATTCTTCTCCGAGTACAATCTCGTCGTTCACTACAAGCCAAGCAAGAATAACATCCTTGCGGATGCCCTATCTCGGCGCCCTGATTACGATCCACGCCGAGATTTGGGTCGTCAGTCACTTGAAGACGCGGACGACGACGAATTCGTCTGCGCCACATGTGTGGCTGCAGGTGTGAGCCTGATGACGGCGGTATCTCCAAT